GCAGCAGCAGCAGCAGCAGCAGCAGCAGCAGCAGCAGCAGCAGCAGCAGCAGCAGCAGCAGCATGAGCAGTAGCAGCAGCAGAAGTAGCAGTAGCAGAAACAGCTGGTGTGCCATCGATTTGATAACAATTCCCATTTGTTACATTTACAAAATCCATTTATGTTCACAAGAGCTTTTTACCGCTTTGATAATATCTATTCAATGCGATTGTGATATATCCGCTGGAACCTCCGCTTAGGCTTGCCAGCGGTTTCCATCGCACAGCGATATGCACAATATTCAGCAATCATTTCCATTCCTCCTTAGCTTCCTCTCACTGCTGCTCACCACAGCTGATTGTTGAAACGTCTGATTCATGAGTGAAGTAGTCGGCAATCATGCATTTTCTTTCTTCCTCAGCATTTTACGATTGTTTTTTTCAGTGCTGCATAGTCTGGTTGTCAGCGTTTTTGACGATCCTGGCATCCCTCTCTACCAGAACAAAATCATAAAAGGTGATTCACAGCACACTTGTAGGTGCATTCTTGGCCAGTCTACTTGCTAGATTCGCAGTGGTGTTGCACCATCATGTTGCTATCACCTATCAACTGAATCAAGATGAACAGAAGACTGGGGCAACTTCAGATTCGAGGCATCTCCTGCACAGATAGCCTTGTAGAGCATCACTGTTAGGTTGTTTTTTTCAAACTTTTTAACCGCTCACTGCTTAACCGCAAAGCTAGGAACTGAGCCCCTCATACAAACGATAAACGTCGGTAGTGTGATCGAAACACGTCACGATTCGAAGAGCTGAAGAGAGTGAATGATAAGTTTGTTTCCCTTCCAGTCCATGCATTTTGCAAAATAGTTCATATTCTTCGCATGGCTTGTTTGCCGAAACGTGCAGGATCAAAGGGTCTAACCAGTAGACGGATTCCTCGAGATCGATTTCGAACGTAGGCTATGAACACTTCTGTCATTTGGGCTATTAGTCGGAGTACCCATGGCAAGATCTGCTGCACACGACTGCTCTTCTCACGTGCGATTCGTCCTTCTTGCAGTTACTGAAGAGTGCCCTGAGAATTACTAACAATGACAGTAGCAAAGCACCGCGGTTCTTTTTATAGATTCCTTAGCCCTCATTTTCGTTCATATTATGCAAATTCTGATTCAGGAATCATTAAGCATATCTCTGCGCGCTATGTGTTTCGTGTGAGTTTTGTCGTTTTTATGTGTTTTTGCTCTGTACAGCTCTACAGCCAGCAAAAACGCATATTGTCAAGAAGTCATCTGTGTGTGTTTTTTCGGAAGCGAGTGGACTTCGCCATCCACCTTCATCTCAGAAACTAGGAAAGTTGGGAAGCTGAAATTTAGTGTGTATGTTCCTACTTCGTGTGTCTTCCTCCCGTTTTGAAATTTTCGCTCACACTAGAGCTCGAGTACGGACCCCCCCCGAAGAAATATGCAAATTTCTTTGGTGGGGAACGATTTCGCAAACCAGGCAGAGCACAAAGCTGAAACTTTGCAGGGATATTCTCCATGCATGTGCGAGCTAAAAATTTCAAATTCAGCTGTCATGCAGGCTTGTGCAGTGCGTATGATCACGTCAAAGATTGCAAGTTGATATCGTGCTAACTCGAAAACTTGCCGAAAACAGTGGCTAAAATCTTGTCGGCATGTTTACTGCTCACATGGGAAGTAGTGTACTTGAAATGAGTACCAAATTGCACTTGCATCACGACTTGGAGCACGTCAAAGATATTTGTAGCAAAGTGAATATTTTGCTTACTGGATAAGGTGCGAGGCTGAAAATTCGCTGGGATATTCTATTTTCAAGTGCGGTCTTAATTCTGTTAGCAGATGAAATTCCAAACAGGTGTTTATGAGAAATATTGAATTTTACTGAAAAACCAGAAACAAGTGCACTTTGCAGCAAACAGCCACCCTCATCTAAATATGTAAATGAACATTCAAATGTATTTGCACACTTGGATTTTTTGATGAACGACCGTTCTAGCAACATTTTCACCTTTTAGTGAACCGGAAATTCGCATTTTTTCAAAAAGCGAGCATTTACCGGAAAAACAACGGGCTTTATGCAAAAAACTGGCAATTTTGTACCTGGAAGTCCATGCGGTCCTATAACGCAACACCTTTACCCCAACTGACGCTCTTTCTCCTGTTTGCTGGAAGAAGCCAGACTGCAGCATGAGTCCAAGTGCTAGGCTACAGCGCAGCGGTCATTCCTGCTATTAAGGATTTAGTGCAAAAACGCTTGTTCGCACCGGCAAGCCCGGTGCACTCCAGCCTAAGTTATACGTTCTTGCATGCACGTGAATGCAATCTTTGGTGACGCACATGAGACTGGCGATGAGATCATGCGTTTTTATACATTTTGTTCGGTACTATGTTCGTTTGGAATCCCATAAGCTAGAATTTGTGACACGCTGGTCTTCGAAGTTCAAGAATTGTGCAACTACGTGGTACTTGGAGGGGGAATATTCTGTTAAATTTCAGCTTCCCAGCTTTCCTGGTTCTCGAATTACCAATTTCCCGCCAAAAAATTCAAAGCTCTTACGTGAGAACCACGTGCGCCTGGAAGCTGAATTTGAAATCCTTAAATTCTACATTGACGGGGGACATTCTCTTAAAATTTTAGCCTACCAGCTTTTCCAGTTCCCAAGTTAGTGATTTTCCCGTCAAAACCTTCACGTGCTCATACGCGAGGCTCAGACGTGCGTGAAGGGTGGTACCACAATTTCCCGTCAAAACCTTTAAATTTTTGGGGGTGTGGGTGACGAAGCCCAAACACACACACACACACACACAAACTGTGATGGCAGAATGCATTTTTCATTTACATAAGATGCAAAAGCCCGTAAAAAAGGTGAAACAAAAAGTGTTTGTATATTCTGTTACACCAGCTTTGGTCTGGCGGAAGGCGACCATGTGGAGTGAAATGTAAATTTACCATTTTAGCTGATCGATAGTTTCTGGATATAGGCCGACGCTGATATCGCTCAACTACATCACTAGATAACGATCATTATCCAAGATATTTCCATCAGCGTGGTTTGTTGTTCCTCCTCATGTTCACTTTGAGAATACAAAACTGAAAGACTTGCTGTTCATCTCTGTGCCTACCTAATCACTTCCAACTTTGCTATTGGACTTTTTCTTACGTGGTTTTGTGATACCAGTGCTTGCTATCGGTGATGCTGGCGAAGAGTGGCAGGAGAATGCGGGTGTGATAAATCGGGCTGATAAAGTTTGGGTACGTCGTGAATTATCATTCATGAAAGAAGCTATTTTTAAAACACAATTCTAATTTTAAAAGACGTGATGCACATGCATAAAACAAACGGTGGGTACTAACTGGAGGAACGCAGCTCGGGATCGAAACACTTGACACAGCTACGCTCAGCGCGTGGGAGCATCCTAGAGTATCACCAACAGAAGGATCCTGCATTGATAGTCCCAATGATCTTGATATTCTTGTACTGAATTTGTGAGGATGCACATCTTTTAACCTTTTTTCTTTTCCTCGCGGCACTTTAGTGTAGTAGCTTCACAATTACAGTTGTTGCTCGTATTCTAGAGATGTCGATAAATGATCGTCGTCAGGCCCCTTGATTTATGACATTAGAGCTAAAGAGAAATTTGTCTCCGAAGCACCTTCCTTTCCCTTTTGTGGCCCTTTCTGGAAGATTTTGGTCGAGGTGAGCAGCGACATTTGTCCGGCTGCGTTGGACTTCCCGAAGAAAACGACACTGCAGGGAATCCGGATCTAGCCGCTCCAGAATTCGAGGACCGGAATAAAGAATTGAATCTACATAATTTTTGCTGCATTTCTATATGTATTTATAAGAACCTGGCATGTTTCCGAGAGGTCTAAAATTCCTGTATTTTTTTGGTGAAAGGTTAGAAAAAAAAAATTTTTTTTTTTTCTTTCATTTTCTACTAAATGAGTAGAAAGCAGCAAAGGAATGAACGGGAAAACAGCCGAAATTTTGTGGTATCTTATAACTTTTAGATTTCTGGGTATTCTTTGGTGTGTCTCTTCATGACCAGATAAACAGTTATGCTTGCCGTGCCTGTGCGACCACGCTTCCGGAAGTGAAATCCGATGGACGGGGTATGCCGCTCGCCTTGCTGATAACCGATTGGTGTCTTGAAATAGTGAGTGTGATATCCGCGACAAAATAAACAGTCCTTTCGGCGGTTTCTGAAGAAGTGGCGTGCATACATCGAGATAGATGAAGATGGAGATATGCAGTCTAGGATTGCGTGGCCTGGCGCAGCTGTGCACGGCGGTGGAGCATCGCAATGTTACCACTAACAAAAGGGATACCCATGCCAACTGTGTTGGCTGTAATTATGCATTCGCGCTCAAGTTGCGCTCGAGAATGTGCCTAGTAGGATCCAGGATTTCGTAGGCGCTGAGATAAATTTGTGCCGATTCTGGATGAGAAATCCCGTCCCTTTTCAGCTACTGTGCTACATACGGCACCCTGCGCTTGAGTTATTCCGGCTTCCCCCCCGCCCCGTTACGCCGAGGACAACTGGGACATCGCTTTGCTGCTGCTGCTGCTGCTGTTGGTTGTGTTTGTTTCAAATTGTTCGGTGCGATGCCGCCCGTATGCAAATTGCCTTTCCCAAATTGGCGCTCCATGCTGTTTTGCTTATTTCTGGGATTGCCTGGATTGCATGGTGCGGTGGGTCGGCTCCCTTGACTGCTCAACCGGTGCGCTTCAAATTTTACCGCGTTGCAGAGTCAGTGAGGCTAGACGGAAGTCGGAAGTGGCACAGCGGACGGCGGGCCCGTGTCTGCCCGCCGCGATGACGAAGCCCTCGCCGCAAGAGACGGAAGCTTTCGCCGGCGACGATAAACCGTGGAGCAGGTGTAGTAGCACTGGCATTCTTCCACATACTGCTTACCACTGCGATAACCTGAAAAGCATGCGCATCCAGCGGAAGCAATCGCTCATATTGGCACTGCGCTGCTGCTTCAAACACGCACACACACGCACACACACACACACACACACACACACAC